GAATGAAATAAGATATCGTGTTTTCTTTTGGGAGAGTATCCCGTGTTTTACGAGAGAGTATCTCGTTTACTCGTTTTATCCTTCCCATTCGTACGCTTTCCCTACATCAGTGAGCCACCCCTTGGAGGTCGTGGTCAAGCCATGCACCCAAACCTTGAGGAGACGACGATATTCTTTGAAATCCTAACGTGGACGAGGCCGCAAGTGCTGCCATATGGTCGGCTGCAAAGTTGGCTTCCCGATGAACGTGCCGAATCTGAATTCTCCATTCCCGATCCACTAGGCTCCTAATGGCCCTAATTAGGGATTCGTGGGGGCCAGAATGACCGGGAGTCCCAAGGATCATTCGACACACACTGGCTATCAACTTCCGCTACAACCTTACGATGCCCCAGATCCCAAGCCAGTTGTAGACCTTGAAACAGTCCCCATAGTTCAGCCCCGGTGATAGTACCAACGCCTATGTTCATAAAGAAGCCTTCAATCCATCGGCCAAGCTCGTTGCGGATCAAACCCCCCACGCTGCACAATCCCGTGGCTCGACTAAAAGCCCCGTCCGTGTTTACTTTAACCCAGCCGGGATCCGGTGGGTGTCAACGGATCATGCGGATAGTGTGCACTGCTGCTCCCGCCTTCATGTAGGCTGCCACCGCTTTGCCATAATTTTCAGATTTTCGCAGAACCTCCAAGTATCGGGCCTCGCATCCAATGAAGCGATTAGTAAAAATTTGTTCATTACGCCATTGCCATGAACTCCACACACAGAAAGCAAACTTGCAGCTCCAGTCCTTGTGCAGGTCCGATGTCACCCGACCTAAATTACTTAACAGCCATTCCCGAAGTTCTTGCTGGAAGAAGTCGCCCGTAAAGTTTGAAGGAAGTAACTTGAGCCATAATTTTTTGGTAACCGGGCAGTCCCTCAATACATGTACAGCAGACTCGACGGCGCCACACAGCACGCAGGAGGGCGAGGCAGCAAGATGCCGCCTATTTAGTTATTTAGTTGTGGTAGGTAATTGCTATTTTAGTTATTTGTAATAGGTAGGCATAAATTATCTAGAATATTCTATAGTAATGGTTTGGGAAAATGTCAAAGTATTCTGTAGGTAAATAATATGCAGAAATTGTGTAGGCATAAATAAACCTCTAGGTAATTTTTATTTATTTATTTATTTATTTATTTATTTTTTTACCAACAAGCATTTAACCAATAGAAGAATTTGTAGTTGTTCTCTATTCTGAAAGTAAAAGGGTTTTTTACCTATAAATATTTCTCTAGATAAAATTGATATGTCTTGTAGTCAAGTTTCTTTATACAAAATGAACTAATTAATAAAGGTCAAATACAATTATTATTTAAAATATTATATTCCAAAAATTTTACTATTTTTAATATATAATATTTTATATTTTATAATTAGTGTATATCTTCTTCATAAAAAGAATATTTTAATTTATCATAATTTAAAACCTAAAATAAAAAAATGCAAAAAATAAAGGGGTACCTACGCTTAGCTCGCTAGTCAACCTAGGTCTCACAAACTTCGCAGCATCTTGGCCTGTCTAGACATCTCCTAGTCCGTCACGCGTCTAAAAGAGTCGTCTAAACAAAATTCGTAATGTCTGAGTACCGCCTAGCGCCTATACGTCATTCGCGTCCAGATCAAAAAAAAAAAAAAAAGTCTTAATACAGTTGCCCGCCACGACACTACTTGAATGCTACTGCAGGCCGAAAGAAAGGCCGACTATAAAACATTGTTGATAACTAAATAGGTCACCCCTTCTTGTAATTAAAAAAGTTTAAACAAGAAAATTATTCAAATATCATATATTTTAATCCGTAGTTAGGTTTTATGCCCGCGAAATAATTAATTAAAGCAGCTTGAATTTTAGTACTTGATGGTAATTTCCAAATGCCTAAAGTTTCACATTCCCACATGCAAAATATGTATTTCCGTTTGCGACCTTGGAACACAGTATTGCGGAGCCAGGACAAAGACAAAATTGCGGGAGCGATTGCGCCAGCTAACATAAACCCGCATTATCTACTCATTAAATAGGAGAGTTATGATCACTGGAGTGGTTTATTGTTTATGGAAAATATATTTGATAGTTATCCATTAATATTTTTATAATAATCTATATATATATATAAAAGGTTTGATTATTTTTTAAATAATAATTTTTCTCTAAAAAAAAAAATCATATTTATTATTTCGAAAAATTAATTTAACAATTAATGATATATTTCAATTTAATCACTTAAAGAAATTGCGGCTCATTATGGCTCATTATTTAAGGAAAAAATTAAGTGATATTATAAGATATCTTAATTATTCAAATCATATGAATTAATTAATATATGGTATAAAGTGGACAAATTTATTTTTACTAGTGGTGATTGTTTCTATGGAAAATAAATAAATCAATATATGGTATAAATTAAGCAAATTTGTTTAAGTTACTTAATTACTATCTTTTGGTAGGAAATTTGTTAGAAAAATTAATCAATATATGGTGTAATTTTTTTTGTGATGCGCATACCAATAAATTAATTTTTAGGCGTGAGTTTCAATTTTTATTTCAGTACTTCGTATGGAATTAACATAATAAAATTACCATAACTCTGACAAAAGAATATAAGTGGATTATTTGATATAATGTGCACATGTATCGATGTCTGTTCTATAGACAAAGCTCTCGTCATTTTTTATTTTTTTTTTTTTGTATAATTATAGTGGGTCTCGATTTAGTTCAATGTTTGTTACAACATTTCGAATAATTTTTGTGTGAAATGCACTATTCATTCTTTTTAGCATAATAAAGAGTGTTGATTTTTCTGGCATAAAAAATCCTATGACTGGTTGTTTTTACTCAACTGCTTAAATTTTTTGATTTGGATATTTTATACAAAATAAATTTATTTTAATTAATGAAACAATATAATTAATTAATTAATAGAATTAATATAATTAATGAAACAATATATACAAAATAAATTTATAGTTATTATTCACAGAGGTTTTCAAATATATGATAAAATTTTACAAATATAACTAATATATGGAATCACGTTATAGTCAAATCAAATTTCTGAATAAAATTTTGAAATGACACATATTTTGAAACGAATATAATGTAACTTTATTATCAGTTATGTGTAACGCATGAGTTGTGTACTAATTTTAATCATACATTTTTATGTAATTTTGCACAATTTAAATTTTATATAACATTTTCAATAAATTTATGTAGGTGCATTATACTACATATTGATTTCATGTTTTTAATAAAATATTATTTAACGATAATTTTAAATTTATAAATATTAATGAATATCTCTTACACGTACATCGCACGAGATTCGTACTAGTATTATATTACTAGATAGAAATGCTCCCCTACCCACGGTGGGCACATGTTAATATGCCCACCGTGTAGGTGACATGCACTCATTGGTGATGTTAATAAGTTTAAAAAAATACATCATCAATGAGTGTATGCCACCTACGAGGTGGACATATTAACATGTGGCCGCCGTGGGTAGGTGAGCATTTTCGAATCAACAATCTATATTTGGTCACATAATTTCTTGAATCAAATCATGAGCTATTAGGAATGCATCAAATTCTGTCCAAGTTTATTTGGCAAATTAATTGGGCTGGTCCAGCTAGGCCCAGGCTCTAAATTGGACGGGTAGCTCTTACAACTTTGCTGGGCTCAGCAAGAAAGAAGAATTTAATGCAAATGAAAAAAATTACGATTTTACAAAAAAAAAAAAATAAAAAATAAAAATAAAAAAATAAAAATAAAAATAAAATAAAATAAAATACACAAAAGCTATATTCTTCAAAATATAAAAACGGAATATGAAAGAAGAAACAAAACAATTGAGAGGATTCATTTGACAGGATGATCTTAGAAGTGTTATATGAGCCGAGCCACGTAATTCTTGTTTGAGCTCGTGCTCTTGGCTCGTTCAAGCTCGTAAATAGTAAGCTTGACTTGTTTAATAAATTTAAAATCCTATTTAATAAACTAACTCGGTAAGTTGTTACTTGTTCAATCAAACTTTCACGAGCCGTGTTCATGAACAATGTCGAGCAGCTCGGTTTGAATTACAGCTGCTGAATGCGTGCCACTGCCTATTTTGGTTAATAAATGCTGCGTTTTGTGATTGGAATTATCATTAATTTTGATTAGTTACAGAAAATGCACTTGAAATTTAGTCCATAACATTGTACACTTCATCTGACTGTTTGATCAGAAAAAACATCAGTAATCAGAGCTCAGATTCACAAAATTACATATCAACAGAGCCATCCTTCATTCCAGCTCGAAAATACATTTCCTTTACAATGAAGAGTTCTAATCTATGCAGAAAATGCACATATGCCCAAACAGAATAAAAAATGGAAAAAAAAGGGTCATTCTAGTCTAATCGAGCCGCTCAACAATGGCACGCCCGTAAGTTCACCTCACGATCTCCTTCATTATAATGTACCTGAAGGCAAAATTATGTGGGACCCACTCGATGCTTTTCTTGTTCTTTGCCTGTCGGCATTTCTTGATGCTCTTCTTCAGCGATTCGGGCAGGGACCTTTCGATCGTCTCAAGAACACCGGCTTGGCAGAGTCCCGAGTCCTTGGCGAACGAGTCAACAATTTTCGGGAGAAGGATTTTGTTGTCCTTTCGTACCCCAAATGTGGCTCGGATATAATCCTCTTTGGCTGCCTCCAGCTCCTCATATATCCTCTTGGGCGTGAAAACGCGAACCTGTGATAAAAATGGGGGTGATTGTCATATTGAAAAGATAACCGAAGCTTCCTTTTTCTTAAATTTTGGAGGTGATTAGGGTAATGTTTGGTAAAACTAGCTGATAGCTGATAAGTGATTTTCGAACATATAGCTTATGACTTATAGTTGAAAGTTAACTTATATAATAAAGTGTTTGGAAAAATTAGCTGATAAGTAAGCTAGCTGAAATTAAAAATTTCAAAGAGCATATTGGAAAAGCTAACCAAAGAAGCTTACAAGATAAACTCGAGCGTTTAAAAAAAAAAAAAAAAACCCATCCTACCAAACGAAGCTTATTTGAATAAATGAAGCTTATAAGCTAACCAAATAAGCTATAAGCTAACTTATTTGGTTACCAAATATAGCCTTAGGTGAATTTGAGGGTGTAATTCATTGTATAAAAACGGATTTATTGCAAGGTGAAAAGTGATTTTACCGCGGGATCAGAGTGGGACCCGCATGAGAGGGCAAAGTAGAGAAGTGGCTCTAGTCGATCGATCCCATATGCTTGCCGTTCATCACCGGATTTAAATTTTGATTTCGAAGAAAGTAGCCACCTAAGCCACTGTAAACCGAGCAAATATAATGAGTATAGACAAATCATACTCAACGTAAAAAAAAAAGTTGAAATTGCATATACTGATGGAACTAATTTACGAGTGTACCTGTCCAGGACGAGACATTCGGCATCCCAAGATTGAACTCTGTATGACATCAGCACTTACTGTTTGACCACCAACATTGTAAGCAGCCTTGAATGAACAGAAAGAAATGTTTTAGAAAACATTCTTTTTCAAGATTATCCCATGAAGAAATCATATTTGTTTTTATTCGTTTTTTTTTTTTTTTGGGTTACCTTCAAGAGTAGAAACATTCGCTTCATATTGTTCTGTGGGATGCCGTACGCTAAAAATGCCTGTTTAGTTTACACAAGAACAAAAAAAACATAAAAATGTCGGCTACGATTGAGATTGTTTTTGTAATTTACTACATTAAAAGTTCAAACAAAAGTTGCCAATGGATGTATATATATTATCTTACATGCATCACCAAAGCATTATGAACATTTATCCAAAACGCCAACTTTTCTTCATGCATCATCTTTCTCGGGTCTACCTCCTCCAATCGAGACACAAGTGACCTGCGAAAAAATTCAAATTAATTCAACGGTATTACATTATTTTCTTTTCGGTTAATCCCTTATTCAAACTAATACAACTCACCTAAAATTTTGTAACAAAAACTCAATATCACCCGATTTCTTGCTATCTCTGTACAACAACAAACGGTTTACTTCGACCATCGAGCTGTAGGGCCCGCTAAAGTCCTTTAGCCCCTCCACATGGAAAGGATTGTCCAAACGAACGTCAAAGGATGAGTCGACTCGAAAACCCGGGCCCCACATGTCATTGTCACCACACTGTTCTTTCGGGGAGAATGCGCTCGTAGATGACACAGAAGAACACGGGGGGGACGAGAGGCTGTGATTGTCCGCAAGCTTGCAATAAATGGTGCACATGCACCTTACCATATCCTCCGAAAGCTTGTTAGGCGTTTCAAGAATGTGGTCTGAGATGCGGGTCCCGAGATGCTCGGCAAGACTAATTACATGTGATGATGAGTTTTGAGCATACTATAAGAATTAACCGAAAATAATCGTGAGTAAGAATTAACCGAAAATATAAAAAATTAAAACTCGCGAATAGGCTTTTTATGGTGTGTACCTCGATCATGGATAATGGTTGAGAATGGCAAGAACGTAAAGCCTTGCAGAGTTCATCTGCTGGTGGTGGAGAGGAGGCTCGGTTTAGCAGAGCCCCACGTTGTTGTGATAGTGACGAATGAGATCGTTGAATGCTCGAATCTAGAAGCTTCTCTTCAAACGGGCCACCACCATTAGCAGGTTTTGTTTCCCTTAATGAATCGGACCTAGAAAAATCGAGCCGCCTTCTCCTAGGTGTTGTTATTATGAGAGATTTGAATTTTTCTTCATTCTTCTTTTTCGGAGATAAAGATGAGAATGGTTGATCAAATGCTTTTCTGTATAGCGAAAGAAGGTATTGTTCCAAATGCCCAACTTCTAGCTCTAATACGGAAATTTCTCGAATGAGTTCTGTGGCTGACTAGAAATAGGCATAGCAACACTTCTATTAAATTTAAACCCCCCCAAAAAAAATTGTAACTTTCTCCAAAATTATTGATATAACAACTAACAACATGCATTGCTAAACTACCTTAGGGATAGTAGCTTCATCTGTAATAATATCATGAGCGGAAGTTTTATAACCGAGTGCCTTTTCGAGAGCACAACGAACAGAGACTTGTTCCTGTAATCTCTTTTCGAGCGTCAATATCTGCATAGGTGGCGATAAAATAAAATTTGTAACCAATGCTCGAATGTAAAATTTGTACTGAAAGACTCGTAACATATTACCTCTTGCCTAAATTTAATACCTCTTGCCTCAAAGAATTTTCGGCTTGAGCATTCAATGATTGTTTCTTCGTGCCGGTTTCTAATTTCTGTCGATGAGGTGCTTCAGTTGGATGAACCGAGTTATCTTCTTCGAGTATTCTCTCTGGGAAGCTGCCATTGCCATAAAATCGACTAAGAAAGATACCTTCAAACTCATTAAGACACACTCGCTAGCTAAAAGTAAATTTTTCACTCTCGCCAAAAGTTCATTGGCATTCATCTCCTAGTAACTAACTCATTATTATAACATGGTTCATAAAAAACACGAAAATAAAAAAAAATCTGAAATTGGGTGCTAATAAGGTAAAAAATCACAGGACTTTTAACACTCTCATAGACCCATATATCTCTTTAGTCAACTCATTTGTGGGAAAATGCTACAGTCCCCGAACCATTCCGTTGGGATTTGTAACCGTTAGATCATCATGTAACCGTCATGGATAGTTGATCTAACGGTTACAAATCCCGACAGAATGGTTCCGTAACGGGACCGTAGAATCTCCTCTCATTTGTATTGTCTGTCAACAAAAACATAGCTCCAAGCTCTATTAATCGATTAACCTTCAACTATACATAAATCTTTCCAATTGTATCACTTCAAAAAGTACTCAAATCTGCAAAATGAGAAGAAAAAGTACCTCTTGGAACGCTTATGTGTAAACCCTTCAAAACCCATCTCTGCAAATCAGACAAACGCAAAACCCATTACATTAAAAGAACCAAGATTGAATTTTTCAGACACAAAAGGGCAAGAACACCAAAATGGGTCTTCAAAAACCTCGGATTCAGTCAAACTCCCGAATGTTCTGTATCATAATTTGGTTACCCTTTTGCCCGCTAATTCTGAAAATCTCAATAGATTACCGCGTGCGTCAGTAGAAATTGGCTCTAAGGAAAGGCGGTTCTTTTGACTTCTTTTTCTTCAAGATAAAGCTCTCATCTTTTTGTCAACAATGGCTTTTAGGGCCAATGGGGACTGTGTTAAAAAAAGCAGTAAAACACAGATTGTGTGTGTGTGTGTGTGTGTGTGTGTGTGTGTGATCTTTCTTTTTACTTTATTTTTTTCAGCTTTTGTTAGAGTTGAGCTATTGAAGAAAGAAAAACTCCAACTTTATAGTTTGAAGTCAAAATGTAAACAGAAAGAGATGCTCTACAGAGAAGGAAGAGCAAAAATGGTGGCAATGAAAAACAAATTTTTTGTGTAAAACCAATGGAAAAGAAGAGATTTTTCATGAGAAGAAATACTGAAATAGAGAGTGGACTAGTTGTGTGTGAATGAGTGAGAGTTGGTGACTGGCCCTTGACCTTAGTGTGATCCTTACAGCTAATATAAATATATATATATATATTGAAAGAGACTATATTTATGTGATATATATATTGTGGATCTAGAGTTTAGATTTTGCATTAACTATAAACTAATGGATTAAATATATGTATGTAATCTTGGGGTTTGTTTGACTCAAAAAATGAAAAAATATATACACACACATATTACTATAAAGTTAAAATATATAAATACCACCAACATGGGTTGACTCAAGTGGTAAGCAGTTTGATGTCGCTTAAGCAAGGACTCGGATTCGAGTTCTTGTGGATGCAGAAAACCCTTGTTGAGATACTTAATCACCACTGCCAGGTGTGCGACTCGGCTCGATCAACCGATTAGTCGGGGCATAACTCCGGATACCGTAGCTGGCTACAAAAATATATATATATATATATAAATACCACCTAAGATTTTGTTGGACTTAGTATAGTAACTAGCAAGACTAGTGAAATTAAATTTGAGAGTTTTGAGGTCAACAAGAAAGTGAGATTGAAAAGGTTGGGGAATTGGAGGCTGGATTATTGTATCAAGTGACACTGTTTTTGGAGATTAGGCTGGAGAAATAACAATCTAGATTATGAAAATAAAAAAAAAAAAAAACAAAAAGTTTTATAAAAAATAATATGCATTCATTTTATGTTTTCTTTTCCCTTGAAAATCCCATTATCACTATTAAAAAATAAAAAATATCATCATTATATATTTTTCAATAATATTGAATTTCATATTAAAACCATCAATCTTATAAATAAATATTTTATTATTTTTATATTTTAACAACTTTAATGATCATTACTTTTTATCTCAAACTTGT